CTTAAGCCTTTGCATATCTTGCTGTAAGTCTTCTTCTAGATATGCTTTTGATGTTCTGTCACTATGTGGTGGAGAATAACTCACATTTTCTAATTCGGGTTTCATGCTTTTATAGATATTAGCGGTGGGACTGTCACATGTGGGTCCCTGAAACACACTTGCCAGTCATCTTCTAAGCTTTAGAAGAGCTTCTAAGTTCCATGTGGCTTGTGGAACAAGTGCTGTATTGGTTTTCGGTTTTTGTAAGTGTCTGTAACAGCAGAAATACTGTGGCTTTCTATCTGCATCACATGCTTCAATTCTTTGGAGTGAGCAAACCACAAATCAAAAAGATTTTTTGGATTTCTAGACTGAGGCCAATGCCTAATGTCTAATTTCCAATCTGTGGTATTTTGGGTTATATTTTCTTGTCATTTGCATATCAAACTCTTGGTCTTCTTTCATTTCAATCATAACTACTGGGTTCCTTAATTTTTCAACTTCTGTATCATTACAACAATTCTCTTTCTTCTTCATCTCTGTGAGAAACAGGCTACATGTCTGGTTTGTTACAATTTTTACAGTCTGATTTATTTTCATTTGAATAAAGCTTAGAAGATGACTTGCAAGTGTGTTTGAGGGACCCAGAGTATAAATGCAACGAAAAGACCTGAGTGAGATGGGCTTGTTCCGTTCAGGCAATGCCTGGAATACTACAGAGTTAGACACTCCAGGTGCATCTGCTTCCTCACCATCAGGGATATGATTCATGAGATTACGGGGCACTCCCTTTAAGTTTGTCCCTCTTTAGGTTTACAATGTAAGAGCTCTTCCTCAGGACAAACAGTAATTTTGGATTTTTCAAAACTTTCACCAATCTTCAGTTGAACTTTTTTGTAATGATTTTTTTTTTTTTTGAGATGGACTTTCACTCTTGTTGCCCAGGCTGGAGTGCAATGGCATGATCTTAGCTCACCACAGCCTCTGCCGCCCAGGTTCAAGAGATTCTCCTGCCTCAGTCTATCGAGTAGCTGGGATTACAGGCATGCGCCACCACACCTGGCTAATTTTGTATTTTTAGTAGAGACGGGGTTTCTCCATGTTGGTCAGGCTAGTCTCGAACT